TTTCACATGTGCAGTATATATCACATGTGACCAATCTAAAATCTTATATATTGAAAAAAGGAAATTGGCACATTATAATATGAAATATAAATTGTACATGCATTACCAACCATCTTGTCAAATAGTTATGGTACGGTTATTCACAAAATACAGGAATTTACATCCAAGTGAATCGTATAGTGAAGGTATAGATATAAGGTGTCTGGGACGTGACAAACATTCAGGTATTTTGAGCATGACATTAATATTATACTCTTTTTGTGGGCTAAAACGATAAAACTATCAAAACAACACAATCTAAAGTTGTGTTTATACAGTATTGGGTTTGCGCCCGAGATACACTAGTTTGTATATTAACATTTAAATGAAACTTTGGATTCACCATCACCCACACCGCTTGTTGTCTGCCACTTCAATCTCAGTCTGAGTTTCAAGGTACTGGGACATGATGGTCAGGATTAACAGGCATTCAGAACTTTCACTGATTATATACAAGTAAAAGTCGGCAGTTGTTATCTACAAGTTCTGTCAGTTCGTTAATATCCCAGCTGCTGATCACATCTTCTTGTCAATACTACATGTTATAATACTTTCTGAAAATATTCCTAACATGACTACACAAATACATTTGCTAGAGAGTTTTGATAGCTTTTATGAATGCATAGGAAAGTTTTGTGTCAGTGAAGTTTAATTATTATGTCACCGACAGTGCCTAGAGGCAAATCAGTTCTGAAAGCGAAAGTTTTAGTTTAACCAACCTTTTCTTTTGCAGAGTCTTTGAAACATAATGTTAAATAATAAGGTTAACAAAAGACCGGAATTTAAGTTCATGTATATTGTATATACTCTGATTATTTGCTTTGTATTTTCATTGATCAGGTGGATAGGTCAAGCAGTTTAAAATAACAAAACTTATTGTAGCACTCAGTGACATAGGTTACTAGGCATATAATAATGTGCAATATTTGCCAAGGATCACATGGCAGACACAATTTTTAATACACACCCACCTCTTTGAGGACTCGTTTGTTAAAAAACTGCTGGAGTTTCTCATTACAGTAATTGATGCAGAATTGTTCAAAGCTGTTGAGCTGAAAGTATTCAAATCCAGCAATGTCGAGGACGCCAATAAAACAATTCGACTGTTTATAAGGAAAACACTGGTTAACACGTTCTACGATGTGATCAAATAAATGCGAGTAGATGGCCTTAGCCAAGGCGTCACGAGCATGAGAGGCTTGGTCTTTTCGTAGTGGTACTCTGTAATCATAGAAAAAAAAACCCTGAATTTTCTGCTCGTTAGGAAAAGTACAAAAATGATATCATAGGTAGGCGATTAAACAAATAAGTTTTTATATTAGTATTATCAGCTTATTTATTCATTTCAATAGTCAAAGTTTTATAATATCATTGTTATGCTTGATTCTAGTCAAAAATATCCAAGGCAATACTGGTAATGACCAAGCCTGTTCATTTTTAAGAAACCCCAGTTATAAATTCTGTTCTGAAACAAGTTAAACTTACTTGATAAGTGTGCCTCTACCGCCACCTTTAGCTGTCTGCATAATACGAGTGGTTAAGCTCTCACGCAGATCATCAGCTGCTACCATCAGTAGTGATGCAGTTGTCTTGAGAGATTCCTCAGCTGTGGGGCACACCATACTACCACCTAGGGTGCACAGATACATAAAGTGTTAGTACACAATGTAACTTTATTAAGGAGTGGAACATTAAAAACTCTGGGGCAAAGGCAAAATTGAAAAACAAAAGCTGTACAAGAAAAAAATCATAAAAAAAAATCCTGCAGAAATCAATAAAAAAAAATAAAAAATCGGCACACCTATTTCTCAGAGAAAAATATCACTCAGAGGAAAAAAAAAATACAGCAAATTCATCAATGAAAGCAAAAATTAGCAAAAACTAAGTGAAGGAAAAAAATATTTCACGTAGTTCTTTTGCCATTGTGCAGAATGTGCATTTTCTGAGTTTTTTTGTATATTTTCAAGAGATATTTTCTGAAAGCAAATTATACACAAGAATACTGATCAGCTTTGATTTGGAGATTATAAATTTAAAGAAAAAAAAATTTAAATCAGGAATTCAGCATTATCCATCTTGTCTATAGAGAAAAAAGAAATAAAAATTGAATAAACCTCATACAAGTTGCTATATTAAAATAAAATATATTAATTAATTTTAAATAAATCATTTAAAATTTAAATAATTTAAATAATTTTATTAATATAAAATATACAAAAACAAACTTCATTTTTAGATTGAAATTGAATTAAATTTGTTTGTGCTCTCATTATTTTTACATACAAGTGGTAAAGCATGCCAATCACATTTTACTTTATGTTTACTAAACTAAAAACTACTTCTTTGTGATTAATTTCCACGAATAATATTTTTTAATAAACTGACATGAATGAACACATCGTTTACTTTCTTGTTTCTCGCAACTTAGAAAATGACAGATTTTTCCACAAATAAACAATGAAAATAATATTGATAGACCACATACAAATGATTAAAATTAATAACAAATATTGAATGAAATTAAAAATAAATTGAGACCTTGGAAGGCAGAGATAGTTGAGGATGCAGCTATGATGAAAAGAATATGAAAACAATAATTGCAATGAATAAATAAAGCAGGATATAAAAATTATGCACAAATAGGTTGGTAAATATCATTTGAATGCAGAGAGATCGACACCCCCCCCCCCCCCATGAGTCTACTCAGGGGGTCTCGGGTCTCTCAGATATACCATTTTTCTGGGTGTCACTAGAAATTATGTTGTAAACCAATACAAATCACCAATAAGTTATTAGTCATTGTAAATGTTTATAACTGAGAAAAAAAAAGAAACCTTTTGTATCTTCAGAACTTTCTTCCATTTTAATATTGCCAAGATGCAGAACGCCGGCGACAATACGGTATATGTCCATTTTTTCTTCCTTAGATATTCCCAGCTTATCCATAGCACGGTCAACTTTAAGGAAATCTTTAGGGTCATCCAGTATGATGTCTCCCAAACCACCCTGCTTTTTGTGCTGTAAAGAGTGATAAGATAAAATTAGAGAGTAATATATACTGATAATGACCTGATACAGTGTAACATGCATTGATATAGACCTATACATTGAGTGCATAATGAATTGATCTTGACCTGTGTATAAACATTTACATAGAATATTGACTTATTACACTGCTGAACCTAAAGATGAAATGTACAGATTACTGAAAGTCCATATTGACAGACACAGCTTGATACATGTATGTGCATATAACAATATTTATTTCATGCTTAATATCTCAGGAATGTTTAATTCTAAATTTAAACAGATTCTCTGTGTCTCTCTGAATCTGTTGTTTTGAGATAATTCCAGACTGCGTTTCACATGTAAAGTTAAAAAAGTTAAGTTTCATGAGTAACAAGTTCAACTGAGTTACATTCATCATTCTTCACAGTCAAATAAACCTATATACTGTAAAATATTTTATTTTTAATTGGAATTTATTTTTGCTTTAGAGATGATTCAGTGAAAATTAAATCCACCTTTTTTCCTATATTTTTCATTCCACTCAACAATCAGTGTAAATAAACTTTACTTCAAACACCCAAAAAGTCTTTTCAGCAAAAACTCCAGCTAAAATAAAGTATTTTACACTAGGGTACATACAATTTTAAGCACCGATCACAAAATTATTTTGAAAAAAAAAAATTGGCAAGTTCCTAGACATCAAGGAAATAGCCTTCCAAGATGGCTGCTTGTATCTAGGCAACCACTTACAAGACTATGGGACCATGTTCAGTTACCACAAATACAGATATGTAAAAAGACAACATTTAGTTTTCACATCACAATAAAATCAACATGCAAGTTTTTGTTACTGCAAATACAACATTAATGACATACTGTTCTGTGGGATTGAAACAAATATGATGTTTGTAATAAAAGTCTACAGTACCAGAGGTACATTACTTGGGGTTTGCAACTACGGTGACATGATACCAAGATCCCGTTTCAATCTCGCTCTCGCAGAAGCGTTCCAACTCAAAATGTGAATGCGCATGCCCGAGGTAACTAGGATACTGGGATGTCCAGGTGGATCAAAATAGCTGCTCACGATATGACGGATTACGATAACTATATTTTCTGTAAATTTTCGATGTATCACATTTTTTCACTATGAATGTGGTAATACATTTTTTTATTGATTATTACAAACTGCCTATTTCATGTCAGCAGGTCGTAGCATCAGTCTCGCTATCTACGAGATGAGACTTGAATGGGATCTTGACATGATGTCACCATACAGTACTATGCGCGTTGCAAACCCCAAGTAATGTACCTCTGACAGTACTTAATTACTTACGTGATGGAAATAAAAAGAAAAGTAAGTACTCATGGTAAAGAAAAGAAATGTTATGAAGAAATGAAAATAATAATCAGATAATGAAAAAATGACAAAATTGGTAAATTATGAATCAAAGCAAGAATGGTATGAAAGATGAACAAATCAAAAGTAAGCAAAATAGACTCAAATGCAAATTAAAACATAGTTAAACCATGAAAACCTTGCACTCAAAGATTGAGTACATCCATTATTACTCAAATCAGCAAATAATCTGACATCATCCAATATTATTTAACATGGCATGTATATCAAAGCAAATACTGAACATGTGTATGTATAAAATAGTTGACATTACCTGGGCACTTGTACGATTTCCACTCAACTTGCCAGAGCTCTCTTTAGTTGTGAAATACTGTGTACAGCCATGTTTTAAATACTGACAACAAAAAAGACAATTAAATTTAGTCAAAAGCAAAGCAGTGAAACATAATCAGTTCCTCTATTTTGCCAGATGACAGTTCTTGACATTTGAGGTTACTTTAGCATTGATGGCACTATCAAAAGATAATTGAACCTACATGGTAGTCATCAGGAGTGGTGATCTTTAGCTTCTTTCGTAGTTCGTCAGGAGCACCAGAACACATTCTGTAGAAAATATGGTAGTTTCTTTCTTCCTGACTTTGCATCACAATACGAGATTTTTCAAGAAGATAATGGGATACGTATCCACCAACTACTACATTCTATATGTGCAAGAAAAGTCATTTATAAAGTTAATTCCTATTGGTTGCTCAGGCATACAAACTGAACCAATCAGCTGATGTCTTTTGTAACTAGCTTAAAAGCCAGTCGCTATAACATACCATTTAAGGTTATAGTGAAGTATGTCGTAAGGGCAGTTATAGTTTAGTTAATACGGAATGTGACTATTTTTCATCAGTGTGGGTCTTAGCATATACAGTTTATGAACTCAAATAATTACTCACCTTGTCACTAAAATGCATTTCTACAAATTTACCAAATCTACTACTGTTATTATTTCGCATCGTCTTGGCATTACCGAACGCTTCTAACAGTGGATTGGCCTCTACTATTCGTTGTTCTATCACACCAGCACCCGAACCGTGAGATTCCGTCAAATACCTGATGAACAGACAATGAATTTCAGTATATAGATTATTTCATTGCTAATAACAGAAATTCACTTCATCTAAAAACGAGCATGCTGGAAGAAATGCAGGACAGACAATAAATGTTGAAATCAGTACCTTAGAATATACTTAGTAGATTCTGTTTTGCCAGCACCACTCTCTCCACTCACTATAATGGCCTGACTTTGTTTAAACACTTTCATATCACGGAATGCTTTGTCAGCTGTAAAGATGAAAACAAGATGAATTATGGGATACAAAATGCATCACTGTTACAGCCGTTCTGAGAATCATTCGGACAGTCAGTTAGCAATATATGTTGGAACTTTGCAAAACACTTGGGTCTTTTCCAATCTAGACTTGATGACGCCATTGTATTGGCATGCCCACAATTGGAATCATTCCATTATCTTGCAAGATGTGGGTAAAACACTGTTTTCAAAACGACACGTGTTGGTTACCATATATTAACAGGTTATATGTTGTATATGCATTCAAAGTGTTATTTTAAATTGTTATAACCATTTGAGTCCACCTGACATAGCGTAATTTACAAAACAACTCCTGAGTGTTGAGTAACCCCAGGTATTAATGAACTCGTCGTTGGCGGGAAGGCTCAAAGTAAAGTTTCTTAGCGGGACGCGCTGCAGTTTCGCGACAGTTTTGGGCCAAACTAAAAGTTGTTTTTACATTACTGGTGCTGTGAGTACGTCAGGGATACACAGACGGAAAACTCTATTATAATGGTTTGATGGAGTTTGTCAAATCAAAAGTGCCTTCCTTGATCGAATCACTTTTTCAACAGTTTGAAAATGACGGGGTATAACTGAACGACAGTTATTATGTCTAGTCCATTTTTGTAACAGGTCCAACTGACTAAAATGAGCGAGGGGTTGACATTTTTCGACAGATTTAAGCAACATCCAACTTGTGATTTTCAAAATTGCTGAAAATAATTACAATATAATTATAAATCAAAGAAAGCTTAGAAAGAACTCCCGTGTGCTGAGAGTTTTGGAGACACATTAAAAATTAATTCAAAATTACTTATACTTGAGATATTGATGGAATAGCTGAAAACTAATTATACAAATAAGGTAACTAATATGAACAGATTTAAGTGTAAAACTAATAAGGTCTGCACAATGTACCAAGTTTCATTGAAATGTGATAAGAACCAAAATAATATTAGTTATTATGCTAATTAGAGAATTAATATGAACAGATTTTAACCCAAAATTAATCAGGCTGTCTATTGTCCTAGAGCATTTATGGACCAAGTTTTATTCAAATGTGATGATCAATACTTGAGATATCAGTATTAATTAAATATGTTAATTAGGTGATTAAGAAGCATAAATATTTACCAAAAACTAATATGGTGCATAGTCTTAGGTTCATTGAATGTGATGGGTACTCTTTAAAAGTTTCATTGAAATCCAATGAGTGGTTTTCAGACATCAGTGCAACAGCCATAGAACAGCAAAAAATTAACTAATTATGCAAATTAGGTAATTAATAGGCACAATTATTTATCCCAAAATTAATCAGGTCTCTGCATAGTCCTAGAATATCTATATCGCAAGTCTCATTGAAATGTGATGATTAGTACTTGAGATATCAGGTGAAAAGCTGAAAATTAACTAA